CTAATTTATTTTTTCTTTTTTTTTTTTAATTATATACTTAAATTTTAATTCTAAATTTCAAATTCTCCTACAATTTTACCTTTATAAATGAGTTGCAACTTTATTCTTAAAACCCTACCTTTTTGAGTAGCGTGCACTTGCCAAGGTTGTCGTCTTCATTTTGCTCGGTTGTTGTCTAGGTTGTCGTCTTCATTTTGTTGGGTTTATTCTTAAACGCATAATATGGGTGTCAACACAATGGGTTAATAGTTCAAAATCAAACTTTTTATTTCTTGTTTTATGTCGATATGTAATTCAGGGTGTCAGTATTATACGTTCAGCGTCGAACATTCAAGTTTCTTATTCTATTTCAAATCCTACTTCTATTTCAAATCCTACTTCTATTTCAATTAGGGTTTCTAAAACCTTATAAATACCCATCCAAATTCAGAATTAAAAGAGCTTGGGAGGCTGGTGGCAGCCCTCTTTTGGGTATTCTTAGATATCAAGATAAAAATTTAAGAATTTGTTTATAATTTTTAAATCTTTTCAATTTTTACAATTGTAAAAGAGTATAAGAATTTATTTATAATTTGTACTTTTTTTAATTATGTTTCTATTTATTTGGATATTAACGTATTTTATATTTATATTTTTTTACTTAATGTTAAATTTATTTATATTATCTTATATATTTAATAGTATTAAAAACCGATAAATCCGACCGAACCACACCGATCCGATTTAAATTGGATTGGTTTGGTTATCATATAATAATGGATTGGATTGGTTTAAAAATTTTACTAACCGATTAAATTGGATTGGATTAAAAAATGTTAAAATCCGAACCAAACCACCCTGCGAACACCCCTAGTCACCCGTTACCCGCTACCTGCTATCGTTATCCATTATCCGTTACCTGCTATCCGCTATCAGTTGAATTTTAACAGCTATACCAAACAAGCCCTTAGTAAAATTATAAATTTATAATCATAAGTTAATATTAAATAATTATGATTTATTATTAAGGGTTCGTTTAGTATAACGGTTTTACTTAAACCGCTAAATATAGATATTTGGTAAATTTATATATTTCAAAACCGCTATAAATAAAGTGTTTGGTAAAATTTTTATTTAACGGTTTAAGATTAACTAATAACGGTTATGGTCCAAACCGTTAGCAGATTGAAAAAGTTAGGTTATGTAACTTTTTGTACCAAACCGCTAGCGGATTAAAATCTTTTAATTTTATTGATAAATTTATCCATTTTAATTTTTTAATTTGTGGTCATATTTTTAA